ACATTTTAAGCGGGTAATTTTTGGACCTCAGGTTAAAAATACTTCGCAGCTGCGGGTGACACCATTTAAGCACGACTTAAAGAGGTCCTTATTCTGTGACCCGTTCGACAGTATTGCATTCCATAATCCATGTACTCCAGATTGTCTTCTAGATGTAGCCGTCCATCACAGCTATGTAGGCTGCGATTTTGGTGATGAAACTACAGACATCTATTTTGTTTATGCAAATGGCAGCCATTGGCGCGAATTATTCACGAACAACTCCCTTCGCTCCGGTGACTTGAACCTCTTAACCCCGTAGCTTCGCGAAGATCTGTAATAGACTCCAGCGCAATACCTCTTGGTTGTGTGGCATGTGTAGGAACGTTATGTTGTTATAACCTACATAAATGCCCTCGTAGTCAGAGGGGAGCGTCTCCCTCGCCGGAGTACACTTTTTCATCGCAAAGAAGAGTGGAGGATGATACAGTGACGGGTGCCTTGCGCCCGATGCTGGGCAGAATTTTGGGAGGGATCTTGCCAGCTTTAACTGGGGCAGGTCTCACAGATTTGTCAAATACATCGGGAAACCACATTTAGAGACCATTGTGGATTGCAGTAGGCCTTGACATTTACGATCGTAACTTCCCATTAAGGTGTTCCGGAAGAGAATGCAGCCGGGTACCCCTCGCTGACGCTGCGGTCGACAAACACCATGTGAAGATCGAGGTCAATCGTGAGGGTACACTGTATCAGCATAACCTAGCCAAAGTTAAACTGGTGAAACCAGTGAAGCGCCCCACCAGAATGCAGTAAGTCATGACGTTCTTAGCGCAGCTGCTGAAATATGCTGACGCAAGACATATCGCTTGAAACCCAGGAAAGAATATCTCAAGTCGTATACCGAATTGTGCCGGAAGCGCTAACAGACCCTTGAACAGTTCTGAACTGAGCACCTGAGAACTTTCTGAAGAAGCGCAATGGGTCTGGTTTTCACCTTCATATAGTTTTAGAGGGGAGGCTAGGTGTGCCAGTAGTGCAGTACGAAGGGATGGATACTGCAACTAATCGCTGATGGACTGTCATTGTACAAGGAGTCTGCAGAACAACTGTGGACTATTCTAGACCGAATTTCACATCCAGTGACAACGAGGGTATCCTTAGTTGGCGTTTATGACAGTTTAATTAAACATGGTAATATGACGCGATGCCTGGGTGAGGATTACGGAGTTATCAGGGATTTTGAAGAACGACTTCTCAGTGGCTGCTTTAAACAGGATTATTCTGAGAAGTCAGCGGCTGCGTTGTGAAACCCCAGCCCATTCATCAGTTAAAATGATATCCGGTCGTACATCGAAGAAGGGTTGTGACGGGTGTGAGGTTGAATGACACGGGGAATGTTTCCATATGCTTTTTCCCATCGGAGAGCAAACCTTCGATCAAACGCATCGTTCTTTATTGAAGAGGATAAAGATCAGTTGTCCCTTGGGAAACTGGTCATAGACACAGTGACATGCTACCCCCTCGACTACATGCACACCGCCTGTCTTGGTGTTTTCGAGAGGCTAGCCAGTTTATGGAGGCAGTTGTCGACGGGCTGGAACTGCGGTATGTCTCCGTCAGCTGTGGAGACCATAAATGCTGGAAGTGGAGTCACGTATTCCAAGAGATTTTAAAAGAAAGTACTAACCCATTTCCCGAAGCAACCACTGGAAGGCAACTGGTGGAATACAATTGCCACTGCATCTGGGCCCAGTGGTCTCACATGGCATACGATCGAAATTCTTGTGCCCTGACTTCATGGAACTGTTGGCGTCCATATACATCCTATGCCATCCGAAGTACTGCCTTCGGTTAACGGACACCGGTGAACAGCAACTCCGGCACTTTTTCAACAATCATGCATGTATTCAAGGACCCGTACAGATGGCGTACAAGGTGCATACAGTCATGCACCTGTGGATGTCAAGTAACATGGTTGCCTCGACAAGTTTTCCAGTTTTCCATTCGAATCGCACCTAAGATACTTGGAACGAACAGTGCATGGAGCCAGGCCTGCGGCGATAAGTGGAGTTGCACGGGTTTGTGAATTGACGGTCCTGTGAACCAACAGATGCATGCCCTTTCCAGTGGATACAGTTGACGTTGGTAAACAATTATGCACGAAGAGAAGGGTTCGCGCCTTTGCTACGTCCTCTAATAACGTCATCTATTATCGAGGTAAACCGGTACCTGTGACCAACATTAGGGAGAACGGAATGCTTGCCATGCGTTACTATCAAAGCCTCGAAGCCTTACTTCAGACACCACTTGACTCATCTGCCACTGGGGTTTACTAGGCTTCACAGATGTCACTGAATGCGGATATCATTACGGCTGACAGCCCTGGTTTCAAGTGTGTCTGTTTTGCAATATCAAACGCCCTCCGTACACATCCCATGCCCCATGCTTACAAAATGAGGTCGTATAGTAGTGGCCTCCGTTACGCCTTTGTTCCAAAGGCGTGACGTGGCGGTGCGGTAACACCGAACAGTTTTTGATAGCTTTGCGTAAATAAATTAATGGTTTTTGTAAAATTGCGAAACACAATATCCCCACTGTCTCCGTTTTCTTCATTTCACGTCATAATATCAAATTAATCACGTTCCTCATTTCAGATGGAAAGTACCAGTTCCATGGTGATCTACGTGAAGTGTAAGGAAAAGTTTGCCGTCGGTAGCTCCAAATGACTTTCGAGGTCAAAATACATCCTCTATCGGGGTGATCTGACTGTATATGATATTCATAGGCACACTGAACTTTCAAGCGGTTGAAATTTCATTGATATACATGTGCATGGTGCTACAGGTACTATAAGATACTGATACTTTTCCTCCTCGGGTACGTAGGCCACGACAGCGGAAGCCATGAACATGTGCTGTGAGCAGGACAGCTCACTCCGGCATATGCAGCTGTACCTGTGTTGAAAGTATCAAGGGCAAGGTATATTCCTTACAAGTGAACCTGTAATCGACCTTTTGCAGACAAGCTGAAGCTGATGAAAACTTTGTATTTGAAGAACACTCTTCTTTGTAACCTTCATGATATCCCAGGTCACCTGTTATGCCCTCAACGTAGATGAATTCAGCTGGACAGCTCACTTTGTAAATCATAGGTTCACTGTAAGCACTTTTTCTTGCAGCACTCTCGTTAACTCTTCCAAGGGGTTGAACAAAATAAGCTTCATCTTACTGCTTTGAAGCCTAAAGCTACAGACGTAATGGTTCCTATATAATAATGTACATGAAAACAAACCAGCTTACTACTACGGCCACTCTGATAATATAGACTCATCAGGAAGTATGGCTCAGACACTGGTGTAGTGCTTGAGAGACCCGGGAACGCCGGGTGCGTGGGTGTCGGTGAAGCCAATGGATTAATTCCTGATACACACCACTGCGGACACTTAGCGGACGAACTGCAAGCTGTTGATGTGAGAGGGGAAGGCAAGCGGAGTCCTCCAAGGCATGTTCACCCTCTAACCATTCGTAGTCCTGAATCAGTCTAGTAACCACTCAGTTTACAAAAACAACCGGAATAGCCCGTGAAACATGGTGTAATGAATAGGATGTTTTGCACAGAGATAGTATGAAGAGCAAGTGTAAGCCTGATGAAGAAAGGTAGATTAAAAATAGAGTCAGGGGCTTCCGCTTTGCGAGCCCAGCTAGGAGCAACTCGGCGCCTGCTAACTACAGTGTACGAACTACGTATTATTCGGTATATATGGAAGAACTTGCATATTATTTTGCCAACCTGGCTAAAGATTCACCATCTTAGAACATGTTCATGGGATAGGCTGTGGTAACCAACTAACTTTCTTCACTCAGGTACTTCCGTGCAGCAAATAGTGGAATACACCTAAATTAGGAGGGATATAATCATGGTGTCTCAAGTCTCTGATATTCCTCTTCATACCAATACAGCATGCTACGATCTAATCAGAAACCCCACTGTAGAAATCATAATTTTGGTGGACCTGTAAACTACCAGTACGAAAAATTAGGCCTTTTTTAGGTGTAACAATCAATTCAAAAGGCGATGCAACAACAAATCCACCGAAATAAAAATAAAATCAGGAAGTCACCAAACGAAGTAGAATATTGGAAAAATGGGTTTACTTGGGGATGGTGGTTTTGGTCAAATATACTCCAGGTTTAGTTTTGGCTTCGCCATTCGAAAATTCCAGTGACCTGGGAAGGATGAAGATCGAGAATCCTTTTTAAATGCTCCTGGAAGGAGAAAATAAATTACGTGCAAAATTTCGGATATAGGTCAATCAGACCTGGTTGTAGGAAGTGGCATATTTCTATGCAGTTGAGAATATATAATCATGTTAGTAGCGAACTCAGAGTGTACAGATAAATGAAACTTATCTACGTAGGTAGTATGGGGAATGTGTGGAGGATGAATGGCTCGCAGGTAAAATACTTACTCAGTCTACAAATTCTATAAGGTTAGATTATGAGATAGCATAACCAAACAGTGACAAGTCGACTTCAGTTAGGATCAGTATTCTGTGGAATTCTCTTCCTGAATTATATCCTAAGACTCCCTATCCTGGAGCCTTCAAAAGGAGGTGAGGTTCATCAGTGAACCCCTGTGGTACAAATTTGATTTATGTGTAAAGTCCATTGAGACCTTACCAACTTACGGCAGCAGCCCTTCTATAAGAATAATGATAACTGTTCATTTCTATTTTGTCTGGGTTTCCCAGGAAGGCGAAAGAAGATGCGAGGATTACGAACAAAGAAATTAACAGATAATTTGGAGTTAGAACCCAAGGATCTATTTTGAACAATTTCGATGACACTAATTTCGGAGGTGAGTGGCCGCAAATTCCACACGAATCTAGCAAAGATATGCAGTTGTTCTGCAACACTAGGAGACGAGTATACTAAAGTTATCTGGTTTATCCCAGTTAAATAGACAGATACTGGGCACTGAATTTACATTGCATGCCACATTTATCACTGAGTTTTGAGGGCAACCCGCTATTTCTTGGTGTGCGCTACTGTGCTTTCGGTGAGATGTTCGTTTGGCAGTTTAAAAGATATTAGTAATTGGAAGTTTTATGTGACATACAGATGCTGTATTAGTAGATCAGTGTTTTTTGGCTATAAAAAAGCCACGGAAGTACAGAAAGCGTCCATACAGCTAGGTGCCCATATATATATATATATATATATATATATATATATATTTGTGGCAGACCGGTTGTGATCACAGCTGTAATGTATCACATAGCAACCGATTCTAGATTACTCCATCAAAGTATATTTTGTCTATTGAGGACATTCCCAGACCCTCCAGGTGCCACTACCGAAACAGTGAAGGACTTAAAGTGGTCTGTTGCTTCCTATTAAACAAGAATTGGTTTCCCATTGACATTATGAACTAGGCACCGACGATAGGGGCACAAAAAACGTCGCCATGGATATTGAGAGTGATAGTTTTGTCAATTGAGATTCTGGAATTTCAGGGTAATGCACTATCTCTTAGTTATGAATTCTCTCAGTCAACACTTATGCTAGGCCAATGTTGAGCTACTCACTATAAAAATCCCTGAACCAGATTCAGAACCTAGAGTTGCGTTTTATGGCATTTCCCGAACGTCTAGCTCTAAGTTTTAACGGTCGACCGGACATTTCCTTAGATGCCTAGATGTTTGGCCCCATATGCGCTACATGAAACCCAATATCCAAACGCCAGGCCAAACTTTCCCCTATTCGGTCGGACGAAAATTTTGACTGGATGATTACTCCTAGTGCTTAAAGCGATACCCTGAAATAGAAATTTCTGGCTGAGACGTGAACTCTTCACTTATCTATATGCTCTTACTGTTGCAAGTCATTAAAGGGCATCATTGGGGTTATGAGATTTAACCTATTGGCATACGGTTTAATGAAGTTACTCCTCAATGCCTTATATTCTAAAAGACGGCGTGTTTATCGGTTGGAAACCAGTGCCTCAGTTAACCTACAAGTATTTCGTAGGAGGTGAAACATTATACACGGAATCTCTGACAAGCTGATTCACATATAAAGAAAGACATATTAGAATGGCAGTTTCTAACGCCTGCTATCGGGGAAGGTATCTCAGCGACCCCAGATATACTGTGAACTGAGTATATTATGGTGTTACGAAATAATCGCTGTAAAACAAAACGGTTACCTCTCCCAAACACTAGTCGACAATGAAGATAGGAAACGACAAATTTATCAAGCACTAGGTCAATCAACGATAACAAACTTGAATTTATGATATTCATAGTATCTCTTGTAGCACTCATGAAAGTAGTCGATAATGTGATTTGAAATAACCTACTTATTGCTCAACCTATTTATCGTAGTGGAAATGGAGTTGAGTAAATCAAACTATTCAAATACAGTTGTAAAGCAGGACAATGTTAGCATAAAATGGCGTGTGTTGTCATGCAACGGGTTTTCTAGAAGAATTTAGTATTTTCCAACAAAGCCTCTATAGAGTACTAAGACGAGACAACTCATGAAAAACACCTCTAAAGGTAATCCTTCTTTTTCAATTGAAGCAACATCCATGCTAGAAACTTCTTGAACGGGTAGAAGACACTTGTTCATAGGCACTGTCATACATATTGACATCCCATGTGGGAAAAGTTATGCAGGTTTAACATAATAGCCACTTACAGAATCTTATCCATTGTGTTCCTAAAAGGGAACATAGGTTATGTGGTTAGACATCACAAAAGATGGACAGCTACGGATCATAAAACTGTTGTTGCATCAAACAACTGCAATCCTGTACAAATAATGTCGGAAGCAAATCCGCAACTGTAGTAAGCCAAATGGAAGGGTCAAAACATCCATGTAGATGAGTGGAAAGGTTGCAAATAACAGTAACGACTGCAATACGGCTATCCTTCGCAGATAGATGACTCAAAATTGAGACAGTATGGATATGTTTGGATGCAGTGTAATCAGGTCTAAGGAAGTTGGTTTATCACCTGTGGTACAGCCGAATTCAGGAGAAAAAAACTCGATGATAGTGAGTTACCAATCAGGTGTATCGTTTCCAAAGACCCTTTCGCTAATTGTTTGGTGAGTCTATCCCATTGCTAACCAACTGATGACTTATTTAGTGCCATTCACTCAGTTTGGGTAGTGGGAAATTGTCCCAGCTGTGTAACAGCTTGATTATAATGGAGGTATCCAACTCGCAGTACCCACTTTTATCCCTCAGACATAGATTACAGAAGCTGAATGACCACTTACTCAAACGGATCAAGCTAAAATACAAGCTTTAGTCTGTATTCCTCAACCTCAAATCAATCGCAGCATGCGAAGAGCATAAAAATGCAACGAAACAGTGAAGTAGTCTGATTATACAAGACATTCCAAAATAGGTTAGTAGCGTCCTCCTTGGATAATCGTAGAGGATTATTTGAGTGCATAACGAACCCTCAGATGGTTGGAAGTAGTTTGTCTATGATATCCATCAACAAAGTAACCATAGGTTGTGGCTATAAGTCAGCATATCTATTAGCCATCCATTACTATAAAATAAATACACATCTATGTGTACTAGTTAAAATAAGACTACGGGAGACTTAGGGTACCAGCAAAGACTGGAAATACGGCACCTGAAGTTCTAAACGGGGACAAATTTCTCAGTTAACGGTCTGATAACCTGGAACTACCTTCGGTATAGAATTATCTCAACTCCATCTATACATGTCCTTGAAGGAAAAATAAACCTATATGCACAATCTATACTATTATCGTAAATACCAAGGGATCCTCACCAGGAACGACTAAGTCAACCTGTTGACCCAGCGTGTGATAAGTGATCACCTAATAAGGTCAAGCTCTCTCTGATTCTAATTATCCCATGAATTTTGTAAATATCTGAAAGCTGGCAATTTTAGGGAAACAAATTTAAGTGGGGTAACTTTCTTTTTCCTTCCCTTTCTTTACGGACGTTTTGAACCTTAATTTTAGAGACCTTCTTACGAGCTCTACGTTACACAACTTCGAGTGAGATTTGCAGTAGATAAACATTTCATTTCACATAGTGATGTATCTTGAATGCGAGTATTTGTACATGGTTTTTCAAAACTGAACATTGTGTAGGCTTTTTACAAAACCAGAAGAGAACAAAGTCTAATCTTGCTACACAAACACGTAAGTATGCTGACCATGGTGATCCAGTTTCAGCGGAAATTTGGCAAACGTAATGATTTCCGCCGCTGTTCACAGAAATATACTCTTTTGCCCGAAGTTTGTTCACCGTAAATTACTTCATCAAAGGCCTGCATACCTTCTCCTAAGTAGTGTTTGACTATCAAGGATTATTTGTGATTCTCTGTTCCTTGCTTAGAATTAAAACTCATTTTCCGAGAATTTCCTTTGATTTTCGATGAGTTATGCGTGCTTCCGCCACAATTTTGCATGATCCCCCGTATGTTGCTATTTTACTGCCAGTTCTAATTTTGTGACTTCAAAATTACTGTGTGTTTCATTGTACGCACTTAACTGCTTATCCTGCTTGTAGCAAACGGTAATCAAGGCAGAATACATAGTATAGTTCTGACATATTTACCAAATTTCTAAAGGAATTTTATACATGAAATGGTGTTAATCATGTTTTCGAATGATGTATTTCAAGAAAGGGACTCGTGAGTTCATTTCAGCCAACTTTCGTCCATGTTCTCTTGAAAGAGGTATAAAATGAATGTAATTTACACATTTTGAAGACGTGCGTTTTACTGCAAGTCCAAGTATAACTTCATCTACACAAAAGTGGGATGACAAATTGCTTTGTAAACTAAGTCAATGCTGCAAAATGAAAAGAAATATTCGAGTTGCATATAACGATTTGCCTGCAAACCAACGTGGCATACTTGATTATACGGATACAGTTAAGCAACGTGATTAATAAAAACTTCATGATTTTCCTACGTTACTGGTCATCAACTTTCATAGTTCGTCACGCCTGCGTTTGCAATCGCTGAAATGTGCAATTATTCTTGAGTCGCTGTACCAAGAAGATGGTTTACTTCCTTTTCAAGAGCGGAATAATTAACGAAATAGATTCAGTTTTAGTTAGCGAGAAGTGAGGACAGGCAATTAAGGTTTTGCAGCTCAGGATGCTGCATAACGTGCATTTCACTAACACCAACGATGAGTCTTGATTATTGGTGGCAAATTATTTGCAGTTTCATATCTGCATACCCCAGTGACCAACTCTGTGATACCATGTAGATTTTAAATGGTTAAACTGTATACATACTGCTCTCTTGAGTAACTTTTTCTTCTCAGTCTTCATCTCTTAGTCACTTAGTCTGTGCCAAAAACATAACGGCTCTTTGAAAAGCTATAAAAAACAACATAGAATAGGAAAAATTATCGACCCTCCAACTCTTGCATAAGTCGAGAAGGCTGTAAATAGCCTGAAATGAGGAAAAGCAGCAGGTTCTCATGGTCTGGTAGTAAAACTACTCAAGGTTGATGATTGGGGATTATTGGCAACCTTAACTGAAGCATTAGCTTATCGTATGAGAATCAGATATGATCCCTGTAATGGGTTTTCGTGTCTGATTCAAGAAATGGGAGAAATCCTCTCATGGTAATCACAAGAAAGTGTCTGACAAAGACAGTTTTTAAGATCCTTGGTTCTATCTATAGTCATTAGACATTCAACGTGAGAAAATCAAGCGAGCTTCAAATCTAGTCGTGAGTCCATCGAAGAAATCATTATGGGTTAGGTTGTGGAAAACAGGCACGTCTACTAGCTGTGACTTACGGTGCACATTGTCAATGAGTCCATTCAGATTCCGTATCGCATGACATCACAATATGCTCACAGTAAGATTGCTTTTCTGGTGTTATGTAACACAACCCTCCTCAAGCTTATTCAGTGCTTTGCAGTGATGAAGTTTGCTCCATGTACCCCAACAGCCTGCTTGGATACTGTGTAACCTATACGTTTACTATGTGTAATTCTGGATACGAGTACAAGACTCACTTGTGGTTATTCGCGTAATATCATGTTTATTCGGTTACGACGCGCTATGCTGATTGCAGTAGTATTTGCAAATCGGATTAGGTGTTAGTTTGCCTTTTTGACTCAGCGAAGTTATGCTCGTATTCATCGTGGAGATACGGCTCATTGACCTAAGCACTTGATTTTCAAGCATTAAGTTAAGGGTTAAAATCCCGTTCTACCTACTTTGGCCTTGACAAACAGGCAACATCATGAGTCCTCACATCATAAGTATTTTTCGTTACCTAGCGCTTGAATCTGACTGCAGTTTGATAATGCTAATTCGGGACTTATCTTAACGCACAATATTACTTAGTGTAAAAGTAGGTTAAAAGATGCGTACAGGTGACCAGCACACAGTGTGATACAAGTGGGTGCGGTTATGAAGCATTTGTTTATTCCATGCAGGAAACATATAGTTTATCGCTACACTCAGCAAAACGGCGGAATTTAGTTAAGGTGCTCAGCATGTGTGATTGTAATGTAAGTGCATCTACTTATCAGAAAGGTCTAACTTAGGAATGAAACCAATCAAAAATTGTAAATGCTGACATCTCTATTCCCCCTCTGAACATCTCCAAGTTCACACTGCTTATCCACTATCCAGCTTTAGTTGTGAACATGTAGGTTAGTGATACGAATGAACGCTTACGTACTAAACACAATCTATGTCATCTCTGTTGTCAAAAATACTACTCTTTGGTTCATCTCCTTGGTTGGAATTCATTAGTGAGTTAGCTGCCAAACAGTGTTAAATTGGCGTATTGAAGTTGATGAGCACCTTTTTCTTTGCCTATTGATCCTGTCTTAAACTGTTTTCAAAATTCTCTACTGGTACTGTAGTCTGCTAGGTGGCCATCAGTGGAATCCAGGACTTGCGTTCTGTCCTGTTTGGGACTTGTTAGCTAGATGCACTTTCATCCGAGTAAGTGATGTTGTTCCCATTGAGACTCAAACCCAGTACCCATCGCTTCAAACCCCAGAACGTTATAGACGGCCACGATAGCCACCTTTTGTGCAACGGGTATCAGTTGTTGTCTGATACTTGTAATATCCTGTTGCTATACTTGGTTGAATTGCTTGATATCTATTATCAGATGGTCCTCGGCGTTTGAAGGGATGGGTGCTGGGTTCGAATCTCAATGCGAACAACATTAATCACTAGAAGGCAGGTAAATCCAGCTGACAAGTTTCGAATAGGAGGAAACGTGCATCACGTGTTCCACTACTGGCCGCCAAGCAGATTACTGAAAAGTGAGTAGTCAGACATTCGCATAGGAGCCCATCTGCCAACACAGGTCGAGCAGTTAGACCCAGTATAGCAATGAGAGGTACCTTAATGTCATTAGTCATCTTTGTCTTATAATTTTTCCACTCTTACTCTTTACTACACTTAGCTTGTACATGATGACTACTTTGGCAGGATTAAAAAGTCACGATTCTATTCTTTCAAAGTTGGATACCTTTAAACGCAAGAAAAAAGCTCGCTTAGAAGTTGAAGAACTTACTAAAGAAAGTCGTCAAGCTATTGAATTGGCTGTCAATGCCTTGGCAACCGATGATCCCAAACAGTATCAATTAGAAGAAGGACAAGAGCGTTCATTTATTGAAAAATCTTCTCAAGTAAGTAGCTTTTATGTATTTTCTACTGTTTTTAATTATGATGTTATTTGCATAGAATTCTGAAAGTGTTAAAAACTTGTTGGAAAAATTAATAACATGGATTAACAATGAATTATCAGAGCATCGTATTCTTGTAAGAGATATTCAAGAAGATCTATACGATGGTCAACTTCTACAAAAATTAGTTGAAAAATTAGCTAAAATCAAGTTAGATCATCCTGAATTGACACAGTCTGAAATTGGACAACTTCAACGATTACGTGTAAGTTAAACTTTTGCAAAAAAGAACAACTTTAGTTAAAAAATTTTTTTTCTAGGGTGTTTTACAAACTGTCAATGAAATACTTCATGTATCAGAAAATTGGGCTAGTCAACGGTGGACTGCAGAACGTATACATCAGAAAGATTTAGTTGCTATTTTACGCCTATTAGTTGCTATCGCTCATCAATTTCAACCACAAATGCGTTTCCAATCGGGAATTTTTCTTACCGTTATAATAGCTCGAAAATTAAATGGCAAATTAGAGTATCGTTATGAAAGAGAATATATCACCGAATTCACAGAAGCATTACCCGGTTAGTTTGATTCATGTTTATAGTGTTTACTATAATTACTATTATATATATATATATATATATATATATATATATATATATATATATATATATATATATATATATATATATATATAATTAACAGCCTTTTCCGTGTGTTGTTAGCTTTTTCTTTGTAGAAGACGTAGTTTTAACTATTTGTTGAAATACTTGTAATTCTCCGTTGTTATACTAGATCGAATTGTTCAACCTCTGTTAGCAATATGGGCTACTATGCGGATACCTTGATATTGCCTGAATATTTATTATGCTAATTCACTTGGTTGTGGCTAGCAGAGGGATTCAGGATGTACATTTCTTCCTATTTGAGACTCGTTAGCTGGATTTGCCTGCAACCTAGTAAGTGATTTTGTCCCCACTGAGACTCGAACCTCGCTTTGGCTTTGAAGCGATGGGTATGAGCTTCGAATCACAGTGGGAACAACATCACGCACTGGAGTGCAAGCACATCCCGGTGAAGCAGTAGTTTGTTAAATGATTAAATTTTGATAACAATTTTGTTATCTAGACAAACCATAATGTTATGTGCCTCGTCTATTCGGTTTAGTTTTATATTCTAGGGGTACGCGCCGCGTATGATATATGGGGACTCGTGGTAGTACTGGATCACTCAGGGCGAAGTAGGTGCAGTAGTGAGGTTTAAATATATGATCTGTTGCTTAAGAGTCGAATGCCTTACCTTCACTGTTATCTGGAAGGTTCCATACAAGTTATGTATGATGGATGTGTCAAGGGTAATTTCGAAGTCTGTGTGATCTCCTGCTATTGGCAATTTGTGAACTAATCACTAAAATATACTTTGTTCAACAGTCCTGTGGTATAATACGTTTGGTTTTTGGTAAAACCAGCGACTCCACCGAAATGATACAAGTTCGATTTTTCTTGGGGGGGGGGGGAGGGGGAAAGAATTATTCTAATTTACGTGATACACACTTGTGAAGTGCTAAGAAACTAAGTGTGATTCCATGGGTTCAGGTCAGAGTAGTCGATCAGGGACAGTTGGAATAACAGAGCACAAAAACTCAGGTAAATCAAGATTAGTCGATCCGAATAAGATAAAAAATTGAGAAAAATGGTCACCTATATAGCTCTGTACGCAATTAAACACAATCACACAGTAGGGTGAGATAAAGCGACAGCGTTAAAAACTAACTTAGTTGGGTGGAGTGAGGGAGAGATTGACAACCGAATTTTTCTTCATTGAATCAACACGAAATACATGCAGTGATAGAAATGATTCTGCACTTGTCTCAGATATACGCGAAATTCTACTACCCTTGTCATCAGAGAGAAGGAGAGAGAGATTTAAGGGCATATAAAGTCTGTCTGAAAGTGGTGGAGTTACCTGATACAAGTGTGGACAATAAATTGTGTCCGAAACATTGTTATCAAGTAAATGATACTGTTCTTTCACTGTGTGACATTTTTAATAAACAGATTAAAATGGAATTATAATGTACCACATTGCTCAAGTTTTACCGCTATATTTGTCATACTATTTGGTCAAATTTTGATCATAGCTCACGTAGATTCACTTCAGTTTATACATTTATTTGGAATTATTCATTTGTACTGTCTTTTGTTTGTATTATTAAGCTGGTAATCCACTGGATGTTATCTCCGAACATCATATGGTTTTACAAGCTGTGCTTGCCTTTGTCAATGCCTATTTGGAACAAGTTAGCTTCCATGTAAATGATCTATCTAAAGATGTAAGTTTCAACTTCATGCCTTAAAAATTAATACTACTTTCATCAGAGGTCATTTGGGGATTTGTATCAGTCCAAATGGGGTGGTTACTGATGAAATCTCAGCTTGGATACAGTAGGCCGGTTTAACATTTGCCAACTTGTCATCTGTGGCGCCGACTGGGGATGTATTCTACCTCCCATAAAAGGACGAGTATACTGCACTGCAGTCTATTCTGTTCTGTTATACGTTCATGAGATATAGGTGTTTAGGACAGAAGAAATGAAGTAGGGTTTTGATCATAGGTGTCTCCGTAGCATTACTTTCATTTGGTGGGATCACTGTGTAAGCAATGCAGAGGTCAGGCGAAGGGTTTCGGGCAAGATGGATTATTCGATTAGTGAAGTTGTGAACCTTAATCGACTGACATGGCGTGGATATGTACTGTACATGCTGAGCCACCGCCTACCTCGACATGCCATGCTGGCGGGGGAAGTTGAATTAGGTTGGAAGAAGGTTCAGGGTGGCCAGGCCAAGACGTGGCAGCAGTGACTAAACTCTTTAACTATTGGTCTGAGTCGTGTGCGGGAATTTAAACTACCTGGTTGGGTTCTTGGAGACAAAAGGAATTAGTAGTTCAGAGCTCTTTGTGACATGGTTGGAAATTAGTCACAATGGTGCAGATGCATTCACTCCTTTGTGTCTTCTAAAGTTTGAACGTTCGCACTAACCTTTATCTTCAAATTCTCTCACACAACTTTGTATACTGTGAAATCACTCATTTTCTATCCACCTGTTATTTTTATACTGGGTTAAGGTATTATCAGCAGTCGGGTCTTGCAACTTAGTTGGTAGAGTACCGGGCCGGTAATCTAGAGATCGCTGGTTCAAATCTTGCCATGGCCGAGATTTTCATTTTCCTTTGAATCGTCTCCAAGTATCGATAATATAAGTCTGCCAATCCACAGCTATCTCAGATAGTCACACTGATAATCAATAACATAGTTGTATAGTGTGTAGGGGTGTGTGTGTTACTATTCCGTAACGTTTGACCAACCCTACTTAACTTGATGTGCTCTAGCAGCTGCTTAACCAGCACCTTACCTAACGTGTAAGTACTGATAACGAAACACAAATCAAAAGAACTCGCTTCAGGAATGTATTCGAAGAAGTAATATATTTATTTAGAATAAGTGTAATGGTAATGAATAGGCGAAAGGTTTATTCAACTCATCTGGTTAGTATGGCTGAACTAGGGACTCTGAGTACGTGCATGCTAACCAGCACAAAGGGAGCGCAAAATGACGTCAAAGCCTGCTTGTTAAAACAAAACTTAAAACACCTAAAGCATCCGGAGGCGAGCTATAGGTTTATTCAGTTAATTTAATTTAATCTATTTATTTCAGCCCTAGTTGTATTTTGGTGCCAGGAAAGTCCACTACAGGTGTATCATTTTGAATTGAATTGAATTGAAATATTTACCAGGAATTCATACAAATTATTAATTTTTTTCATGGTATGGTTGACGAGTACACGAATTGCTCACTAGTGAGTAACAGATGTAGTTGTATAGACCTTAGTGTTCAGCATTGATACCTATCTCAGTTACCGGCTGTTGACTAATTCGTGTACATAAATAATCAAGTCATTACAGAGGGTCTGTTGTGTTTTGAATAGCTTGGTGACTGAGTTTCCGATTTTACCACTTAGTGGCTCAGGCTGTCTGGAATCACTACAAGATCAGTTTCTTTATGGTTTTAGATACGCCCTGTTGATGAGTCCTACCGATGGGAAAACCTAGGTAGTGCAAAGCTACCTACTTAAAGTGGCCGAGCGAATACCAATAAGAAATACACGAACTATAGTAACGTGATGTGACATTTGGATTGGATAGGAATAGCGGCTGTTCTTACTCAAAACTTGATACTTCAGTGAGCCACGAAAATCAGAAGACGAAGTCCAGCCTGTAACTTTAAGCAGGACACTTTACTGGATAAAAATGCATCATTTATAAACAGTTTTGATGAGCATATAAAGCCAGTAGGTCAAAAGTTGGACACTCATTTTCATTGGTCAACTGTTGGACAAAATTATCCAATAAGAATTTTCTTGATCACATATAATGACATAAAAAGAAAGTTGAAATCTAAAACTTCTACTTTATTGGCTGATGACTTAAAATGTTGATTTCTATTTAGATCGCTTCTTATCACTATCAACTGACTCTCAACACATAAATGTTCACAAGTATATGAACTCAAGTTTTTTTTTGGCAAGCATGAATTTTTCTGAGTAGAAACAGCTTATGAATTATGTGTATAACATAACTAAAATAAATTTTTTTTCGATAATTGTACTACTTTATATCTTGTCTTTTCGTTAGTTATCTGACTGTCTATGTTAAACTAGATTATGAGCGGCACTGGTAGAGTAATATTTTCTTCGATTACACCACACTTTACTTACCACTTCAGATTATCTTTCTCACTTCTCTACAAATCACTGCCATTATGTAACTGTTTTTAAGTTCATTTACAAACCAGTTATGTGACACAGTTTTGAAGATACCAAATATTTATCGATTCTGTTGAAATATTTACTTGGAATTTAGAGGACTGTATTTTTATACTTTGCCAAGTAATTCACAATGGGAAGCTCAGTGATGCTTTTGAAGTGAAGACAGGAGTAAAACAAGGCTGCGTACTATCACTCATGATATTCCTGATAGTGGTCGACTGGATCATACAACAAACAGTGAGAAGCGAGACCCCGCGGCAAAGATCCTAGAAGATTTAGATTTTGCCGATGACTTGTGTCTGATGTCACAAAAACTGGAAGATGTACAGGCGAAAACTAACATTTTGACATAAGAGGCGAGGCAGGGCAGCAAAGACGGGACTTCAAATGAATATAGAGAAGACAGAGGTGATGAAGATACCCAACCAACACCACCACCACCACCAACAAGCTACAATCACCATCAGTGGGAGAAACTTAAAGAAAGTAGCCTCCTTCACCTACCTTGACAGCACTGTCTCAGCTACAGGCGGCGCAGACGAGGACGTCAAAGCCAGGATCGCAAATAGCAAGACAGGCCTTCGTTCATTAACCTGCAACCAGTGCGGAGATCTTGTGCACTCAGCATAAATCGTGAACAACATACGGATTTTCAACACGAATGTTAGTCAAGTCAATGCTTCTATATGGCTCAGAGACTTGGCGCGTTACGAAAGGATTTCCAACAAACTACAGATATTCATCAACAACTGCCTACGCTGGCTCGTTACTGAAGCTCAGATGGCCAGAATAATAAGAATAAGCGACAAGGAACTCTGGCAACGAATAAACCAACAACCTATCACTCAACAAATATGCAGATGGAAGTGGAGATGGATTGGATTGGGCATACACTGAGAAGGCCTACTGGGGACATCACGCGTCAGGCCAGGCACTCCAGTGGAACCCAGAGGGAAACGACGAGTTGGGCGTTGGATGCGAGGGTGACATGGAGGAGATGGTGTGAGGAAGAAATGAGAGCTTGTGGGCTGTTTTGGAGCAGGTTGAAAAGATTTCAGAGAAGAGAGTGAAATGGAGACAGACGTGCTAGTGAAGCCTTATGTTCCATTAGGAACCCAAGGGACAAATAATAATAATAATTTTACACTTTGCAAATTGGGTTATAGTATAAGTTATAGTAATGATGCAATTCAGGAAGCATGTACAAAGTTTATGCACTAGGATAACAGGTATGTCTGGTACTGTGATGATGAAGTGCTTGGTAAGTGAAGCTTAACAAGAAGTTATGACCCAGGAATTAAAAGTCGGTTGTGTAAACTAATAAACTGTGCTCATTTATGTGAGATTAAAGGAGACGCTGTTTTAATTGCTAGCCACGGTGATTATTTGGTAATATATCTATCTCAAGGAGAAGTTCTAGGAATACTACTCACTTTGCATATTTCACCGAGGGTATATTATGTTATTGAGGCAGTTGCTTAGGTAACTGACTCAATCATTTGACAAGCTTTGTGACCTTTGAATAATGTTTCTGCTTCTGTAGAAATATTCGACCTACAGTTTTATTTCAGCGAAGAGTCTCTTCCCGGAGATTTGATTTTCAAAGCTGTAATGATTTGATAGAGTTCGAACAATTCGATCCAATAAAAACAACGGAGAATTACAAGTATATCCATAAATAGTAATAACTAATACCCGTTGTGCAAGAAGTGGCTATCGTGTTTCCGTCACCTAGTGGATAACGCTGTGACGTTTGAAGTGATGGGTACGAGGTTCAAATCTCAGTGGAAACAAACTCAGTCACTGGAGTGCAGATACATCCAGCTGACGAGTCCCAAATAGTATGAAACGTGTATCTTGGACTCCTCTGCTAGCCACAACCAAGCAAGATTACCATAAATAACATTCAGGTAATGCCGGGGCATCCGCATGGGAATCTTATATCAACAGAGGTTGAACAATTCGATCCGATAAAAACAACAAAGAATTACAAGTATGTCAATAAATAGTAGTAAGAACTTGGTATTTAATAAAACGGTTTGTCAAGGATGGTAACACAAATAGTGTCCATAAGTGACCTGCCATTAAGATAAAAAAAAACCAAAAAACTGTGATGGATAGTTTATATTGATCGAAATAAATCTGAACATGAAGAAGTTTCGTAACGTGACGACATGACTGGAGAGTGAATTGTGATCAGGCAGAGCGTAGTAACAGGAATGAGTAGCAAATTACTTAAGAAGTGAATAGTATCAAAACAGAAAGGTGAAAAGAAAATAGGGGGATAGAGGAGACCGAAAACTAAGACGATGAAAGGAGGAGGGGTTGAACAGTCTTCTTTTGGGTACACAGTTGAAGCTTGTGAATATGGATGGCAAGAGCTTGGGTGATGCCAGAGAATGCGAAAACGCACAGCCTTTGTAAGGTTTCTTTTCACTTCATAGATGACTTTGAACGAGGAAGTTCTTGATATAGAGTGGTTTGTGTTCACTATGTGTTCAACTACACTGCACTCCATTGTTACCTCTTTGTGACCATGTGGGACTGTGCTCTCGAACCCTTTTGGATAACAGTCGCATCGAACGACCTATATGTGTGGCTCCATCAGAGTAGGTGAATTGAGATATCCACATAGAAGTGATGAGATGTGAAAGTTTCTCCTTTGAGTTGTTAGCAGTTGTTGGGTGACAGGAGAATAGTATTGTCAGCGTTGATGCAAAGGATGTTGTCGTTCGAGCGTTTGGTATGCTTCTTTTTATAGTGTCAGTGGTAGAATCCCTTTTGAAGTTTAGATTCATATAGAGTGTCTTTTTTAGTGTTAAGGTGTTAAGGTTGTTTTTACGATGTTTAGGTTTTATGTTTTTGTGTGTGAAGCGTGGTGGTAATCCGTTTTCCATCTGGATGTTTTTTAGAGCATAAATTTCGCATTGTAACATATGGGAACTGCAGATTGGTTTGATGTGAATGACAAGTGATATATATGATCAGGTTTCGCTTACGACTCATGGGGACCCAGCTATTAAAGTTCATCAGTTGTTCTTGTCAGCTCTACATCAAGAAAGTGAATTTTCGATCGATTTTCAACCTTTGTGGTTAATCTAATTGGTGAATACAGTTATTGAATATTTGTAGAACATGACTCACATCATATTCGCGTTGCTATGCTTGACAAACCTTTTTTATAACTATTGCATCCGTATAGTAGGAAAAAACGTATAAATTCTTGATTGTACAGCTTTGAAAATGAAATCGCCGAAAAGAGACTCTTCTGTAGAATATACTTGTTCTTCTTTAGCCCTGGACCTAAGTTTCGTGCTTGTTGGCGCTCGTCAGCAAGGCGTGTCTGCAACCTCGACGGAACTGATATCCGCCTGAGATTAGAACCCGCGTTACCCAGTGTTGCAGTCAGCGACTTTACCAACTGGCATCTACTAATGTACACCGCCACATTGCAAATGTGATCGTTAGGATTCAGTCTGTACTCAGGACTAGACAGCATAAGGTTGGTTACTCTCCTGTGACTAATCAATATATGAAACCTAATCCTACAGGAGATCAATCGTGGCCCGAATAGCTTAGTGGTAAAGTCGCCGACTACAACACTAGGTGACGCAGGTTTGAATCTCAAGCAGGACATCAATTGCATCGAGGTTGCAGATACGCCTTGCTGACGAGTGTCGACAAGCATGAAACCTGGGTCGAGCAGCGCTTTCTGCTGATTTCCTCCAACTAACTAACATGTACTTATATGCAACGCAATGCTAAGCTTTCTAACTCGGTGGCCACATTGCAGATATGATCTATAGGATTCAGCCTGCACTCACGATTAGACAAAATGAAATTGGTTCAGTACATATACTTGTTTTTCTTTTATTCCCTGTAAGTTGACTGTGAAATATACAGTTGATTATCACAAAGTGTCAAATTTTTATTTAAGAAGTTTGTAAAATTGTACATCTCGTTTAACAGGATTATATTCAATAACACAACTATTGATATATTCACCATAAGTTTTATAGTAGTACAACTCAGAGCATAGGATATTGTTTTTAATTGGATGGATATGTTATAAATGTATCCTTTGAGTTTATATTGCTATTATATCCTGTCTACAGTATGCCTTCCTTCTATCTTTTATCAGTTTAAAGATGGTGTACTACTCATCTTATTAATGGGTCTTATTGAAGGTTATTTTGTACCATTTTATGCATATTATCCAACACCGACAACAGAAGAAATGTGTTTATCAAATGTTCGATTAGCTTTTGAATTAATTCAAGCTGCTGGAATGATTGAACCACCTGCAAAACCTGAAGAAATTGTTATTGGTGACAATAGTGCTATTCTACGTGTTCTTTATGGTATTTATTCATATTGTGCACATATGGAAGATGATGAACAACATCAATATGAAATAAGTAATATTCGAGAACAAGATGAAGTTGATGAAAATAATAATAATAACAATATGATGGTTACTGGAGATGGTGATGAAGGTCCGATTGAGACAACAAATTTCCTTTAAATCATAGACATTTCTGCGCATACAGCTGTGATATCTAATTAAACTTTCTTCTAAATCATTTTTTAATTATCAAATAATTACTTACTTATTACTTATTATCTATGCAAGAGTCTGCTGTCTAGTTTATTTTTTCATGAAGTTTACAAGATCTTTGAATTTCGTGTTTTTTGCTGTGTGTGTGTGCGTGCGTGTGCGTGAGTGTGTGTTTCTCTTTGCTTTCATTGGCTGTCAACTTTTTTTGTTAACTGTTCAATATTCTATTGGTTGATGTTAAGTTGAAGTAAATTTTCAATGATTTTTCTTCTCCATTTCCATTGTCTAATGAAAAAGGTGAGAATATTTCTTTTAAGGGAAAATTAATAAAAGTCACATTTGTATGATCACATTCCTTTTGATCAGTAATAAATGGATATTATGATTTTGCGTGTTTTTACAAAAAAAATATTATTTTTTAAATGCATCATTTGTCCTTCTATTTAGAGTTTGTACAAGTGTACACACTGCTAATGGCAACGCTAACCATACACTTATTTTATCTACTAATTTGAATCGTGCATATATTACTGATAATTATAACGCTTATATATAGATAGAATACATAAATATTGTAAATTTGATTAGAGGGGTGGGAAAACAGAATCTTTTAATGATTGTGATTGTTCTTTTTTTCTTTTTATGAACAAAAATCAGTATTTTGGTAGTTATCAATATGAACAAGACATTGTAATGATACTTGTAATTTCTTGTTGCTATATAGGGCTGAATTGCTCGACCTCGTTGTCAGATAGGCTCCTATGCGAGTCTAGCTCCAAATAGGACGAAACGCCATCTTGGATTCATCTACTAGTCACCAAAAACAATATAACATCATGAATATCTGGCAGTTTAGAGACATCCTTATGGGAACCCATCTGCCAACAGTGGTGGAGCAATTCGACCCTGTATAGAAACGGGGAATTACCAAGTATCATTACAACAACTGATATCGTTGCACAAGAGGTGGATATCGTGTCCCAGTGGTTTAGTGAATAATACATTGGCATTTGAATCGAAGGATACAAGGTTCAAGCCTCAGTGGGAACAATATCACTCACTGGGATGTAGGCACATCTAGCTGATGAGTCCCAAATAGGACGAAGCGCGCATCCTGGATTCCTCTGCTAGTCACCACGATCAATATGAACAAGATATGTATCAGTGGAGAAATATTTCTTTTCAACAAGCTTTACAGTCGTATATATACTCGGTAAAATGACAAATAATCGCACTAAAAAAGAGTTGATGATGGGATTTGTTTAAATGGAAGAAATAGCAAGTGGGTCACTGAATAAGAAGAAAATGATAACAAGTGGTGAGAAAAAGGACTAATGGTGTCAAAGAATCGTAAAACGATGATAATCTAACTGAAGTATGCAGAATGGGTCAATGAAGAAGGGACGAATTGATATTAAATAGTGAAATATGAATCAATGAAGCGTAAAATGGTGATAAAACCAGTAAGTTGAACATTTATTTTGATTGGTCAACTGTAGGACGAAACTGTCCAGTAAGGTTTTTCCTGACCACACAGTGACATGAAATAGGTGGGAATGCGAAACTTATACTTCAGCAACTGATGAGTATAAATGTTGATTCCAATCTGGTAGCTTTTTATCAGACGCTGACTCAGTTACTTTCCAATACGCGCATAAAAAAATTCTCATTTTTTTCCAATATACCCTTGGATTTTAATTCATCATTGGTCAGGTAGGATAACAATGAAAAGCGAATATATTTGAAGTATCCTAACACGGTCTGCTTTTTCCACTGCTCATTCGATCAACAGTAAATACATACAACAGGAATGATTTAATACCTCTTCCAGAAATATGAGAGAATTCTACTCCCATTATACAGAAGTACTAGATCTATGTAAAATGTATTCTGAAGTTGTGAAATTCCCATTACGTGACTACAAAACGGACAATAATAATAATGACTATTCTGAAAGGTATTCCGAGAATACTCTACAGAATTTTCAGCATCAATTGGACGGGAAAACAGTTGACATATATACATAGCAAAACGAAATAAGTAGAAATTACATTGAATAAAGATAAGAATATTCAATCCATCTACAACTCACTTGAAAATGTACAGTTAATTTAGGTTGATAATCACATTAGCACCTAGATTCAGAATGCATAAATAGTAACATACTGTGTACTCATCAATTAGTTTGCTTTCTAAAACAGAAGTTGATTATCATTTGACTATCTGAGATAGCCGTAGTTTGGCTGACTAGTATTTATACTGGTTGACAATTGAAGATGAAATAAAAATTTCGACCGTGGTCGGATAAATACTAGTTTGCCAAACCACGGTTGTTATCTCAGATAGTCGAAATGATAATCAACATGATTGGGATGAAAAGTCTTGATTGGGTAGTCAGGATGAGTACGATCAAATGGTAGTAATGCATTACAAATTCACATGATAGTTGGGCACAACCTTTGCTGATTGAAGTGAAGTAAAGATCTGGTCAGCAGTAGGACCTCATAGCTCAGTTGGTAGAGCATCGGGTCGCTAGTTCGAATCCGGCCGCGATTCAAATTTTCATTTCACCTTCAATCATAACTCAGTGTAAAAGTTGGTTAGTTAGTTCATTTGTAATACTTTCTTAATCGCACAGGTGATGAGCTAAATACGTACGGTATTGTAGAGTTTTTATATTTTGTAGTTCGTGCATAAAGTCCTATACGCTGGCTCTTTGTCTTTCCAGATGACCGACACGCAGAGAGTTTCGAGTGATGAGGATGCTGGTCATCTGATAAAATAACTCCTGTCAGATGTTTACATGAGTTCAGATGTTTGTTCACAACTGCTTTAACTAGAAGGTTTAGAGGTACACCACTAGTTCTGACAGTTTTCAAAATTCTACGCAATATGGCATAGTCTTTTTTCAGGAACCTGGGGAAAATAGAGGAGAACAGACAAGATGCGAGAGTTTACGAAACACAAGGGGAGAGACTGAGTTATACCAGATACTCTCAGCTTCCTTATATAGAAGATTAGACGGAAAATTCTTTTGGAAATTAGCAAGATAAAGAAGGACCAGGAAAGGTCCGAAGAAAAACACACACCGAGATAAATCGCACTTGTAACATTCTCTAATGCACGACTATCAACAGAATAGGAAACATGAGAAGTTAGCAGTTTACATAGGTTATGTTCATGTCTAAAACTAAAGTTTGTAGTTCGACATTTTGAAGAAATAAGCATAAAACTGTTCACAGAGGATCATCGTCTAACAGTAGATAGGAAACAACGTCGTTGGGAACAATCTGTTGAAGAGGAGACATGTATGGAAACTGTTAGGTCATCAGCATATTTGATGAAATTGATATCCGCTGAAGATGGTAGGTCATGCAGAAAGAATGAGAACAGACATGGGGAAAGGATGGCTCCTTGGGGGAACACCAGTCACAGTAAACAATGAGGTGAACAGTATGTTGTTTCCTTTCAGAGAAATAGGAATGCAGCCAGTTGATTATCCAAGACTCAGTATTTATCCTGGTTAGCTTGTCTAGCAAAAGAGGTCTTGGGACAGAATGAAATACTGAAGTATAGTCTAAAAAGGCAGTTTACATAGATTATGTTTACGTCTGAAACTAAAGTTTATATCTGACATTTTGAAGAAATAAACACAAGACCATTTTTCAGAAAAAAACAATAGACTAAATTTTGATGTTTGTTAACACTGATTCGTAGAACTTACTGCTAGTCTTTTAAGTTGAACTGCATTTATTACTCCTAGGCGTTTGAATTTTCACTGTTTTATTTGAATTGTACAAGGCAAAGTGCTAACCATTTCAGATAATTTGTTTTAATTATCATATTGTACAGTTTGACTTATAGACCGTGGATGTTGTTTAATGACTAATTTGGCCGAAAATAAATCACGATAAAGTAAGGAAGTCAGATTAGTAGAATTTAATCCTATAGGGTTTAGCTCATAATAATAGTTTACAGCTGGAAAACATTTTTTTATCCTTAAAGTAACAAAATGTACCTATTTGTTGGATGTATTCAAACGAGTAATTAATTTAATCCTTTTTCTAGATTGGACCGTTAGTCAGATATTCAAGTTTAATTCGTGAGTGAGTATTCAGGCTGATTTCCTAATAAAGAATTCTCTCTATGTTATTATTATCTCTCTTTCACGGCTCAGTTACCCGCTGGATGATCTTCTGAGGTTTGAACCGGTTGGTGCTGATTTCTAGTTCCACTGGAAAGGTTATCACTCATAGGAACGCAGGTACACCAAAATGACAAGACCATAGTAGGATGAATCATGCGTCCAGGTTTCTACAGCAAGTCCTCACGAATAAAATTGTAGTGTTGTCATTTATCAAACTGTATATTAGTGAATATATGTTACAGTGGGTGGCAGAACTATTCCCGGTTATGGAGCAAAGTATATTGAATAACTAAAGGAAGTTAATTAATACACATTTGGGCTTAGAGTGGGAAAATAAACAAGGGATTATGGAAATACATGTATAATTACCTACAACAGGATGAATGAGCTCTCAGAAAGAGCTAAGTGGCCTGAACTGAAGATATATTTCCGTTCTCCCTTTGTCACCTATGCTAGGTAGTGTTCGCCCTTTAACTGGAAATAATTTCTGAACGTTCTGCCGCCCACTGTAACATATATTTACGAATGTACAGCTTAGTTAAATGACTTCATCGAAAAGAAATATTTTCCTTCATTGTAACCACGTCTTGGCTTTTCCTATAATCAAATGGGTGTATTCTCCTTTTTGTTTGAATGTGTAACAAAAGTGCGGATAACTGATTTTCTTTTTCTGAATACTTATTCCTCTAATCGATTATTATTGAAGCACATATTATAACTGTTTATGATATGGTGCTCTGTACTGAAATATGCCGTTTTATCTCCAGCTCACTCATAGTTTACTCCCATCCCTCTGGTGCCCGATTCTTTATCTCATTGG